CCCACTTTACGAAATCACGAAAATAATGAATAAGAAAAAAACTCTAAATTCTGAATTGAAATATGAGTATACTTCGCAAAAAAATTAGCGAAGATTTATTTTAAATGCTTTCACAATAAAGGGATAAAGTATGATAAGGTAGACTCAAAAATATATCCAATCGTTTACCTATTCAGTATTTTGTCTATTTATAAGCATTTTAACCATTCAATTAGGTGTTTTTTTCTGTAGTTTAGGGAAAAATATTGATTTGAATTTCTTTTTCATAATTCTTGTTACATTTTTCCAATAAACTATGTTAATAATTAGGTTTCATTTCTTTAATAACGGATTAGACCGAAAGGCATATTTGAAGTAAATAATTATTTTACAATACGCACAAATAAAGAGAATTCCTTATTAGTATCAGATGGATTTTCAAGCACTGGGCCTTAATCTTACTGATTAGAAGTCCAATTATTAATTATGCTAACTAATTAGTAAAGATGATATTTTAAGTTACAAAATCAAACATAAAAACGTACTTTTTCTTTTTTTCGACGGATTTAGATTTCTGACCCCTGAAATAAAAGGGGGAACCGCAATCTGGGAAAGCAGTCAAAAGTTTGAGCCCCTTAATGTTAGTTTTACTTCCTGCGTGTTTCACTATAATATCTCGAGAAATTTTTAAGTTATTGTAAACAGTTTTGCACACAATTATGAAATTGGTTTACTCAAAAATAATTCCATGTAAAAAATAACCTTTAGCACGCATTTAAATTTTATTATTTTATATAATGGTATTAAAAAAAAAATACGAGCACAATTTTTTAAAATTATTTTAAAGGATGTAATTTTGCATTGAAAAATACAAAATTTGAGCGAAATCGATCGAATAGTTCTTGAGTAATCGAATTTCATTAAAACTTTATTTTTAAAATTCAATTTCTCAGCAACTACTCGTCCAATTCTGATCAAATTTCGTATTTTGCAATTTAAAACTGCATTCTTCAAAAAATTATACCTTACGCTTCAAACATTTTTGATTATTTTTAACAAATCGACTATTATTATCCGATTTGTATTCCTATTGTAGGGAATGGTGTATTGACCATGCCAACTTCCATTTATCAATGGTATCTCAAGATTGGTCTTGAGATACCATTGAATCAAGATTGATTGAGCATGTCTTATATACTAGTAAATTGATGTTTAATAATCGTAGTGGTAGTTACGCCACAATACTCCTCCACTAGAATTTTATCACGGATAGAATTCGCTGAACGGATTCCACTTTTTGCTGAATCTGTGAATGACCGGGAGAGCTTTATTAAGATCATCGTAACTTTAGGCTGTTAACCTCTTAACGATCGGTTAATTTTCAAGAAAATGGTCATAGAAGTGCCTATTTTTTTATACACGTACATTATACACGTATTTGATTAGTGCTGACGTCTAGTTTAAAATAAACTATCTACAATTTCCTTAAAAATACCCTGGTACTGCCATCTGGTGTGTAAAATGAGAAATGAAATGTTTTCCGGGTAAAAGAAATGAGTTAGCCTTATTCTTATTGGCACGTTGCTACTGTACACTCCAGTCCGGGAATATCACGGGAGTGAGAAATAGAGGACGAAACCTCACCCCGTCATTTTCACGGGAGCGAGAAGGAAGGGGTTAATCGTGAGAGCTGTATTAAGTTCACAGTCGTGGTCGCTCCTGTGTTGCCTTTAGAAGTCGAGTAAATACGTTCTATGTTATGTGTGATCGAGACTGAGTAGCAACAGCGTGAGAAAGTGGATGATGTCGCAGTCACAAGTAGCAAGTCAACTGTTTAATGTGGACTATTCATCTTAGTTCAAATCGAAGTGGGAGTTTCTGTCAAACTAGACGTTTTCCCATCACATCCGAGGGTCACCCATGTGACGATGGTAGTTATCGACAATGTCAACCTTCATTTATGAAAAGGTACCCCAGCGTAGAATCGTTTAACATTAAATTAGTGCTACCATTAACATCCAAAATGGTTTATAAAAGTGAATGTTTATTCACTTTACTAAACAAATTTGAATTCTTTTAACCTTCCAAGTATGGAAAGTACCCGCTTCCTAAAAAATATAGTCTCAATTGTTTTGTACGAAGGAGTGGTCGAAAATTAGGATCCTTTAATGCTTATTTCACTTCTTGTGTATTTCATCATCTAATTTTAATTTCTCAAAAATTATTCGACCGATTCCCTTAAAAATCTGGACTTTTTCATTTTAAAATACGTAGATTAAATCAGGTCAAAAATTAGTATATCTTAGCATTCGAAATTCTGACCATTAGAAAATTAAATAAAAATATACGAAATTTAATAAATAATTTTATAATATTTTACACGAAATTCTCGTTGTATGTCGTATATGACGTGTTATATCGCTTATGACGTTTTTGTATCATATTTCGTAACTTAATATAGAGTAAGTACAAACTAATTAGCAGATCACACGTTAATTATTATAACTAATTAGTGCGAATGATACTTTAAGTTACAAAATCAAACATAAAAGCGTACTACCTCTGAATAAACATTAACTTTTCTAAACAAATTTGAACTTTTTTTTTATAACCTTCAAAATGTAAGAAGTAGCCGCAATCTGAAAAATATGGTCCCAATATGAACGAGAGAGAAAAGTGAAAAATAAGGATCCTTTAATACTAATTTTACGGTTCGTGTTAATCGCCATCTCATTTTCATTTCAAAAAAATCATTTGAGAGATTACCTGAAAAATGTAGACTTTTTTTTTAAATATATTGATTATATCGGTTTAAAAATTAATATGCCTTACCATTCAAATTTTTAACAGTTAGTAATTTAAATAGTAAAAACTAGTAAATAACTAATAATATTTTACATGAAAATATCTCTTCATAAGAGAGTTTCATTAAAACATACTATTTTTTTTGTTAGTTTTACTTGTCGAAGACTGAGAAAAATACACAAAGAGTGATATGTACACTTAGGTATTCAAATTTTCACCAGCTCTCCTGCATTTAAACTATGTGATCATATTTTCCAGAAATCTCTCGGAAAAACTGTTTAAAAAGAACGTTTTTGTATCTGATATCGTAACTTAAAATATAATAAATATAAATTAATAAGCAAACTTAAAGTTAGGCCATTAAATCATTAAGATTGAGTTCAAGTATGTACTTCGAATTCCGATCTTTAAAAAGAAAATGAACAGATTCCTCTTTTTTTGCTCACTCTGCATTAAGTAAATCAAAAGAAAATTTCGAAAGAAAATATAAATGATCTAAAATGAAAATTTGCATTTTTATATTTTAATTTTTTTTTTTATTACTCACTCGAAGAATTTCCTATAACATCAAAATTAATGTTTTTAACTGTTGTTGATGTATATGCAATTTAAAAGGCGTCCTCAAAGAGAGAATTTTTTTTTAAATTTATTTTTCTGTCATGAATGACATAATAATGAAATATGTATTTATATATTTGAACAAAAATAAGACCCTCGTATAGTCTAAAAATGTACGAAGCAAAATTCGCTCAAAAATTCTATCTTTTCTCGTTCCTCCAACTTAAGTTTTATGCTTCTATCAATGTTCGAAACAGTAGTAAAATCTCTTCAATGATAAACATAGATATTCTTAGTAATACAATTCCCTCTATGCTATGAAGTGTCTTGTAGTTTCAGAAAGAAACTGTTTCCTTCAAAATAAATAAAAAGTAACACTATAAAAATGAAATTTTTATGAGTAAAATAATATTGTTTTGAGGATGAAGCGAATATATTTTGCATCACGAAGAAATAAACATTAGATTCTCGCCACTCACTTCGAGAAAAAAAGATTATTGTCAATTGCGTTCTTTTGTTGAATTCTAGTTATTTGTAAAAATATTTTAAGAATAATATTTGCAGCTAAGTATTCGAAATAAAATTATCAATTTTTTATTATATTCAAAAATTAATCATTTCAGGCTTTGACAAAGTTGAAATTTAAATTTAAATCTAGATAAAATTTTAGATTAAATTTATAAATTTGTCTAGTGATAAGAATTCGCATAAATTATTTTAAATGTTTTAATCAATACTTAAAAAAAACTATTTTTACGAACAGGGCATATTCTGAACTCATGCTATTTACTGAGCTAATGTAGCAATAAAAATGCTTCCAAATGTTTAAAAATAACAAAAATAGAATAAAGTTTCCGTTGGTTACTAATATTTTAAGAATAATAAGTATTCGTAACTAAGTATTCGTAATAAAATTATCGAAATCATTGTTATTTTCAAAGGTTACTCATTTAAGTTTTGAAAATAGTATTTAAATTTAACTCAGTAAAATTTTCAGATTAAATTTAGTTTAGTGATGGTAATTCTGCGCATTCATGCTTTCAGGACATTAAAAAAAATTTCAAATCATAATACGATTTTTTTATTAAATGAAATAGAAAAAAATAAAGCAAACGTTATTTGTAATATGGTACCCAAATATTTAAATTGAATAAATGAAGCCATTTTACAGAAATCAATGACATTTTAGAAGATAATTCTGAAACCTATTAAAGGAATCAAAACTAGCATTTTTTATTATGTAAACATAAATATAAATTGCAATTGGGAACAAAATTCTTTAAGAATTTCGAGACACAAAAATTTCAAAATTCGGAGATTTTTTTATTATTATTTAAAATTATAGATCTGTTAGTTTTCCCAAAAATGGCGAAAACTTATGTCGATGCCCAACTTATGACGTGAGAGGAAATTTAATTTCGGTATTTCATTTGTTATTTGAATTTTTTTATTTCGTGATTCAATGAAAATTCTCGTTGATTGCACCAAATGATTAGGAAACTATTATAATGAAAAACCAGATTGAAACAAATTTACATATGGAATTTTTTAAAATTTATGGACTGTTTTCAAGATTGTTGACCATGATACATTTCCATAAGACTTTTTCTAATTATATTAGAAACTTATTCATTATCATATTGGTTGAATAACTAAAATCACTTACCTCGGCTTGTAAGTGTAGCCTTATCCCTGAGAACGGTGACTTGATAAACAGGTCCATATTCCTCAAAAAGTTTGGTTAAATCACTCTCACCCCATGATCGTGGTATTTGACCAACAAACATTTTGATCGCATCTGGTTCAGGTTGACCATCAGCAGTCAATGAAGTAGCGCTGTACGAAACACAAATGAGTTATAAATGTATGGAGAAAATAAGTCAAATTTTGATTTTAAAAATTGTTGCTCAACAGTACCAAACAAAGACACCCAAATACAGAAAAAACACCTTCATTCTGATTTTCTTCAACTAATTTACAACGTCATCTACTTAAGAGCATTTACTTTATAGGTAAATTGTTGTAAACAAAGCCCGGATTCGACCACTTCACGAATTGGTCTGCCAAATCGCGAAATGGCTAGGAATGCTGTAAATTGGCTGGCCAATGTCCGATCTTTTCTTGATTTCGGGAACTGGCCGGCCAGATCGCGAAGTGGCATAGGATGGCTGGCCAATGTCCGATCTTTTCGTAATTTCGGGAATTGGCCGGCCAGATCGCGAAGTGGCATGGGAGGATCAGCCAAAGTTGGAAGAAAAAATCATTGGCACGTATTTTTGACTTTCAAAATTACTAGCTGCGGTACCCGCAGCTAACTGCGGTGGCATGTCGACCTTTGAGACAAAGTAAAAAATTAAATTTTTTAAATTTTAATTTAAAAACTTGTTTATATTTTATATTTTTAAATTAGAAGATTTATATTTTTAAATTAAAAAAGAAAACAAAAGGGGCAATACCTATCGAGCATTCTTGAATGATCACACCGCTTTTTGGCCGGAACATCGTGGCCACTTCGCGAAATGGCTGGACTTAGGGCTTTGGCCGTAATATATATATAAGATGTTCGATTTTTTTTTTTGAACTATTCGATTGATTCCACTCTAATTTTGTTTTTCGCCGTATAACATTCTTTTAATTGATGTAAATATTTGCATTTCGTAAAATTCAAGATATTAAATTAAGATTATTAAATTATTAAATAAAATTTTTAAATAACAAGATTATTAAATAAAATAATAAAAAAAAATATTGAAAATTATTTTTGCATTGAATTATTTTTAAAAAACGAACTTTATTGTTATAGTTGCGTGCAAAAGTTTTTGAGATTGCTCAAAACATAATAGTAGCGCAAATAGTAAAATTACAATTAAAGAGTTCAAACTTTCAACTGCTCTCTTGACTGAACTATTAGGACCATACTTCCCAGATTGTGGCTACCCTCCGTGTTTTGGGTATCAGAATTCATAATCCAATATGTTTATTCAGATTATGTTCATTCATAGAAAGTACGTTTCTGTGTCTGATTCCGTAACTCAAAATACTGTCTGCACTAACAGTTGTTCAGGGTAATTCGCTTTTTTTATGCACTGTGCATGTACTGCAATGTGCATGTTTTTTTCTGCACTGTGCTTAAAATATTAAAAAAATTAGAATACAATTTTTTTTCAAACGACATTGCTATTACAGTAAAGTTAATAAAATTCATTTTGCTGCAAATCAACCATTTTTCTTGAATATCTAATATTGACTTACACTTATAAGGTTTAGTGTAGTTAAATTTAGAAGTATGGAACTCTACTGTTACTACTTGTGCTTTAATTTCACTTTTTTAATTTTCTTTGTGATGCTTTAAGTTTTTTTTAATAATTTTTTGAAGTTAAAAAAATAAATGATTCCTAATTCGTGATTATAATTCAAATATTAATAAAGAAAATTGTGCATGATTCCCAAATTCAAACTCAAAAGAAAAATTGCCTAAAATCATTTTGCACAAAAAATGTTATCAATGTTAATTTCTTCGCTCAAAAATAAATTACAAGAATGTAAAAGATTCTTTATCTACTTCGATTTCACCCTAAAATAAACTTCTGAAACTTATTAGCAACTTTTAATTCAACTTAATTTGTAATAATTTTTTTATGAAATATTTCACAGTCAAAGTCATTTTCTTAATTACAATTTTGGAATGTTTTGATAAAAATTGAAACAGTATTTTTCAATAGCAGTTAATAAATCCATTATTAAGAAAATAAACTCAAGATTTCTAAATTAAAACTTAGAAATTTAATTGTTAGAATCTGATTTTACTTCAGAGGAGTAGATGCAATAAAACATTTTCTGCGATTAATTTTGATATGAGTTCGAAAAAAAGATTTGGAGCCATTGTTGGCAATAATTAGTTTTTAAAGTAATTAATTGCCGAAATCTTCAAAAAATGCAAACAGACCGACTTTAATTTACCAAAAGATAAAAAAATCCACGTTTAATTATAATATTGATTGTTTCGTTTATATAACATTCTTACAATAGATTTCTTTCAAAACTATGTATTTGGATGGTTTCATTGAACTTTTGACGAGAATTTCTATTAGAAAGTTCCATTCGAGATTTTTTTTATAACCGTGTAAATTTTGCAATAAATAACTTTTTCATTAATATTTCTTAAAATATATTTTTGTAAAGCATTTATTTATTATTTATAAGTAGAAATATTGACTGTTATCATAATTTAAAAATGAACTGTAATATTTTATTTTATAACCGTCGTCGAACAGATGAACCAATTTTTGGGTTTACGACTACTAATGTTCAACTCCGTAGTCTTGTAATTTTGAACCAAATCCAGAAAACAAGGGAACACCTGGATCAAGTATTGGGAGAAATTTGCCTTCGTGGAGGACTTTTTGATGGAACTAACCCGCAGTTGCGTTACATGGAGAGGAAGACCACGAGAAGCTTTCATGGTTTGCCTGACGGCAAGGGGACTCTAACCCATGATCCGTCTACCACTGAGGATATTTCACGTCAGCACTGCGGTCGGTGCAAGCCGGATGCGGAATTCGTATCGACCGGCCATCGCCGGGATTGAACCCCTGTTCACCTCATTGTAAGGAAAACGCTCTCTCCCCTGAGCATCGCTGCTCAGTGTAATATTTTGTAATATATGCATTTTAGTTAACTTATCTGATATACATGAAACATTTACTTTAGAATAAAGCGCTAAGAACGCTCCATTGATTCCGCCATATCGTACATTTTACAAATTATGTAAATTGTTTTTATTATGTTCGAAACACAGATATGCAAATCAAAAATATCTTAAAAAATGAAAACAAAGCGAGGTGACTTAATTATCTCAAACTACTCATGATGTTTTAATTATCATTCGCTTAAAACGGGACAAATGTTAAAAATAGCTTCTTTGTAACAATTTCTGCGTCAATAAAATATCAAACAAAATTTATAAGTTTTGCTACTGACTGAAGAAATTAAACTTATTTAAATTTTGTTTTTAGAAAACAATATATAGAAATTTCGAAGTTAATAGTTCACTCACAAAAAGGGTTTAAAGCAGAATTTTTTAAAATAAAAATTGAATCAAAGAAGAAGAATCGAATTAAGAAAATTGCATTTTGCAGCATACAGGAGCAGTTTAGCCGACCAAAAAGAGTTAAATTATTCAGAAAAGATCCTGTCTTAACATTTTATCTTAATATCAAAGGTTGCACGAATTAGACATGAACACAAATTGTGTAATACAGATAAATAATGTTTTTTTACTTGGTAAAGAAATACTTTAGTAAAATCAAAGTGACTCAAAAATCTGATAAAAAATAATACGCTGCTGTGTGCAAACTTACTTCACTTATTACTCAAATAAAACAATTATATTTAGTTTGTATTTCGACTAAAGTGTGTTGCATGTTAAAATGCAAAAGTTTCAAAATAATTTTTAGTGTTGGCATAAACTATTAAAAAGTTCTAAAGCAAATAAAACCCTAATACGATACAAATACGCTGAAAATTTAATATAATAGCTACATTGATTCATATTATTATCTAAATTTATTGGTTAATTTATTTCTCTAAACTAAGGCTCCAATTTAACAAAAATATGATTCAACTAACAATATTTTAAAAAATTAGCACAATATTATGGGGAAGTAAAGAAACAAAAACATATTTTCAATGATTAAATTAGTATTTAACCTGCAAACCTTTATCTCTTCAGACTAAAAATTTGTAATACTTTGTTGGACATTATAAAAGTAGGCTCATAATACCTGAATATGGTGAAATTTACCATTTCACTGACTTTGTGGGAGCGCTAAAAATCTCAGTTATTTTTACTGAGGAGCTATGACAATGATTTGGGTAACATTAAAAATAAAATATGGCTTTATAACGTGATAAAATTTGATAAATATGATAAAATTTGGTACTTTAATCATGATACATTAGAACATGACAAAAAAAATCATTTATTCGGTTAAATTTACTTTTCGGTTTTGTATTTTTTTAGTAAATATGTGGTAATAAGAACTATAATTTTGAAAAACCGGAATTTCCAGTAAACTGTTTCCGTTTAGGCGGAAAAATGACCAAATACCACATACTTTTGCCAGAATTATTTTTACCAGAAAGTTATCACCATTTAGTGCGGTAATTTAGCCCAAATTTTTTTTCTCCGTGTGAAGAGGTCGCATAATTTATTTCCTTTTCATTTGCATTTGGACTTTTCGGACAATTTTGCATTTTAATATTCAGACTTTACTTTCAGGGAAATAAATTCAATATTGGACCTCAACATTCGGCATTTTAAGCCATTATGCTGTGCATGCTAAATGCAACTTAAGTATGGAGTTAAAACCTAAATAGAGTGCTGCATCGAAGATACTCGCCCTTTCAGTTGAACCAAAGTATCGCGTGAACAAATTTAAAAAAACGCTAGCTTTCACGATTACTTGTTCTAATTTAGAACCGTATTAAGGTTTCAACCAATTTGAAATATTATGTTTTGACAAGTTTCAAAATTTCTAAAATTTCGACAGCAATTTGTTTTATTATGCCATCATATTGAACCTATAAAACTGGAAGGCAAGCGTTGATGCGAAAATGCGTCTTTACAAAATGGGGGGATCATAATATTTTGTTTATATGTTTATCACTGTGGGGTGAATCAATGTGAGCAGTGATGGTTCAGGAGCGTTCCCGTACCAATGAGGTGAACCGGGTTCGAATCCCACCAATGGCTGGTCGTTACGAATCCACTTCCGGCTTGCACCGACCACAGTGCTGACGTGAAATATCCTCAGTGGTTGACGGATCACGGGTTA